TCCAACCACATTCAACCAACAATTTAGATCCTTGGAAGCATGAAGACGGTCTCCCCTCAGCCTTCTCTTCTCCAGGCTCAAGAGCCCCAGCTCTCTCAGCCTTTCCTCATCAGGGAGATGCTCCAAGCCCTCCATCACCTTTGTTGCCCTACGCTGGACTCTCTCCAGCAGTTCCCTGTCTCTCTTGAACTGGGGAGCCCAGAACTGGAGGCAGGATTCCAGCTGTGGCCTCCCCAGTGCAGAGCAGAGGGGGAGAATGACCTCCCTCCACCTCCTGGCCACACTCTTCCCTACACAGCCCAGGATCCCATTGGCCTCTTGGCCACAAGGGCCCATTGCTGGCTCATGGACAATTTACTCTCTACCAGGACCCCCAGATCCTTCTCCTCAGAAGTGCTTTCCAGCAGGTCCACCCCTAACCTCTACTGGTGCCTGGGGTTCTTCCTCCCCAGGTGCAGGACCCTACGCTTGCCCTTGTTGAACCTCATTAGGTTCTCTGCCCAGCTCTCCAGCCTGTCCAGGTCATCCTGCATGGTGGCACAGCCCTCTGGGGTGTCAGCCAGTCCTCCCAGTTTGGTATCATCAACCAACTTGCTGAGGATACACTCTGTCCCCTTGGCCATGTCACTGATGAATATGTTGAACAAAACTGGGCTGAGTATTGACCCCTGGGGGACACCACTGGTTACAGGCCTCCAACTTGACTCTGCTCCATTAATCACAACCCTCTGAGTCCTGTCACACAGCCAGCTCTCAACCCATCTCACTGCCCCCTCATCTAGCCCACACTTCCTCAATTTCCTAACGAGGATGTTATGGGAGGGAACTCCCAGAGGAGACGTTAAGTCCTATAAAAAAAGCAAATAATATCATTCTAGGTGCCGTTACCTGCGTGGCCTGGCCTTGCTGCTGCAGCTGCTGCAGTTGCTGTGCAGTCAGAAAACTCACTGGCTTGTTCCCAGCGATGAGTTTTGTCCCTGCTGGCATCGTGGTCAGGATGATATTTCTGCCCAACCCACTGATGCTAAGGGAAGAGAATCGTGGAGAGGTTAAATAAAGAGCAGAGCAGGCTGGGTCTTTCACATTCATTAAAGTTACATGCCTAATTTGCTTATGATTTTAAGCAGCGTGGGGTGTTTTTCCCTACAAAACCAACAAATAG